AATCTTAAACGTATTCAAAACGCAGCAGACTTTGAAGATACTATCACAAGCTAGACGTCTTCTGGGTGTGTTAAAAATTCAGTCGAAACTTTAAAAAGTTAATAGAAAAAGGCCAAGGCTCCCTGGATGGATTATTTGAGGGTTGCTATTACAACGTTTGAAAATCAGAAATGGTGTAGAAAAATTACACTCTGGCTGAGGCATTGCATTATAATTAATGGACCTTGACCAAACAACAGCTTGGCCTTAAATCAATACTCAATTAAATATTTCCTGCAGTTCTATCCATTAATTGCTCTGCAGCTCAGAAAATAACATTCTAACTGCTTGCAAAAAGGTAATCAACACTGGTGTATGAAACTTAACATTTGGGCTCCTTTGAAGAAGTTAATTTTTCTCATTGAAGGAAGATAATCACAGTGACTTACACTTGATTTCTTTCAAATCCACTTAAAACTATTGAACATTGGATACAATAACAAGCAATAGATTTCTTTTATCGTGAAATATTTAGTTTGTCTGGAACAAACACCACAAGACAGCATTTCCATCTTCATAGTGAAAAGTATCACTATTTTGATGCTAGATTTCAGTTGTAGACATATGAACTCTGGTTGCCTACAGACTATTGGATGGAAAATGTTTAAGGGGCAACATCTTCTAGCCGCTGCTGGCAAAGGAACATTTAATGTTGAAATAGAAAATGCTATCTTGCCCTGCAATGAGGAATCACCTTTCAGTTCAGCTCTTAAGTACAAAGAGACTCAGCCTGACAAAGGTGATTTACAGTGAGCTTCCCACAGATGCATCACCCAGAATGCTGATTGCCTAACAGGACAGATACAGAAGCAGAGGGGGAGAGGTGGGGTTTTAGGCTGCTGGCTTCAGACAGAGAGCTGCAGGACCCAGGCACTCGGAGAAACACCCTCAGGACTAAAGGATAACGGCAAGAGAACAAAACTGAGGGAAACAGCACAAATATAAGCACCACACAGGCAGGAATACCAAAGGTCGGCAGGTGTGATGACTACGAATTTATCAAGTAAGGTTTTGAAATGAATAGCTCAGCCCCACACAGCCTGTGGGGAGACACTGTCTCCGGGCTCATGTCACTCCTGCAGAGACAAAGCAGATGGAGGAGGTGTCCTCTCCTTTCCCTCCAAGGCTCTTGTCTTAGTGTGGATGGTGTGCAAGTATGTGTTCACAGTGTTTGTAATGTTTGTTTATAATAACTTTGAAATGTATCCATTAAGGCTCAGATGCACAGAAACATAATTTTCTGCATTTCTCCCCACTGCAGTCAACTTGTTCTCTGAACTTCCTTTTTTAAATGTAACGTGGGCTACAGAACTGAAAGCAACAAATAAACAAAAACTCAGACACGGACAACAGTGTTGTGGTTACCAGAGGGAAGAGAAGGCAGGTAGTAAAGGAGGTCAAAGATATGATAAAGGAAGATTTATCTTTGGGTGGTGGGCTCTCAATGCAATATATAAATGATGTATTACAGAAATGTACACATGACACCTATATAATTTTATTAACCAATGTCACCCCAATAAATTTAATAAAAACTTAGAAACAAAAGAAATGATCACATGTCAAGTTTCCATGTAATACCAAAGAAGAATATCCACAATTATCTGAAAAGACTATTGAAGTTTTAAAGGCTTAAATCCTTTTAAACATCTGCCAAAGGAGTCTAGACTTTCTTCATATACATCAACCAAAATAGCATATCACAGCAGAATAAATGCAGACGAAAATATGAGAATCCAGACATTGGACAGGTTTGAAAAAATATACATTGTTTATAGTAACATAGTAGATAATTTTTTAAATAAATAAACTCCTTTTAAGAAAATGTAATGCATTCCTGGCTGGTGTGGCTCCGTTTGTTAAAATGTGATCCCATACACAAAAAAGTTGTGGGTTCGAGTGCTGGTCAGGGCATAAACCTAGGTTTCAGGTTCAATTTCCAGTAGTGGAGAGTATGGGAGGCAACCAATCGATGTTTCTCTCTCAAATCGATGTTTCTCTCTCTCTCTCTCTCTCTCTCTCTCTCCTCTCTCAAAATCAATAATCATATCCTCAGGTGAGGCTTTAAAAAAATGTAATGCAGACTTATAGTTTCGCATGTAAGAGGTATGGGAGTGCCATTCTGTCCTGACAAAAAATGAAAAGCTGAACAAACTAAAAATCAACAATTCTTCTTTGAGCAAAATACTGCCACAAAATTCACTGACAGATGACTACAGATTCACTACTTACAGAACAGAAACCCAGGAGCTGAAATCTCTGTAGGAGCAATTGCTGGGTATGAAAACATAAATTGTAGCTGATGAATTGCAGGAGGCTCGGTGTGGCCACATTTGAGAGAAAATCTCTAGGGACCCAGTCGTTGGTGGAACCCCACACTCCTGTGAGTTTGACCTTCTGGAACTCGACCAGGTTCTCACAGTGAAGATCTGAGAAACATCCCCTCCTGCTTCTTGAGACAAGGAGCTACCTTGAAAGACAGCAGGGCACTCCATTCTCATTAAGAAGGCCTGCCCTCAGGAGAAGCTATTTAACCAGATCCTAATCTGCTGGGCTTTCTCAGTTTAATTGACTTGAGGGGAAGGGAAATTACCCAACTCCAGCCCACTCTAGCCATCTGGTGCCACCTGAGGGGCGTGCAGAGAGGGGGTGAAACTGAGAAGCACATGAAGCTCATCATCCAGGGGCCAAGGCTCAGAAAGAGCCCGAGACCTACTCAAAGGGCTAGCATGCTTCTCCTCTCCCACATTACTAAAGGCCTATAAGTGTGATTCCTTTATACCTGCTACATCTAGTTTGGCTACCAAAAAAGTAAATTACAAGACATACGGCAAGGCAAACACACACTTTGAAGAGACAGAACACGCATTAGAAGCAGACACAGAGGGGACATCGGAATTATCCTGTTAATCTTTTGTGACCACCTTTGTTCTCTGTATCCACAGCTGATGTTAATGTTCCCATCTGGCTTCTGCATACAATGAAGCAACCTTGCTCAGTCAGGCCTCTAGCCTGGCCTCCATGTCCAGCACTGTCCTTACTCCTTATCTCAACACTCCATGCCTCCTAGGATCAACCAATCTGTTTTTGCAATTCCACATTCCCTATTGGGGCATGAAGCAACTCTGATTGTTCTCCACACCAGATCTTGCAAAACTCTGAAACACAGCAAGATGTTCTCTCAAGCCCTCTTTCTGCCAGAAAAGGCAAACCCTTCCTATAAAATCCTCGGTCATCCCATTTGAGGAGCATTAGGAAGCCTTGCCTTGAAACTGTGAGTGTAGAGCATGCTCTCTCCTCCAGAAATTACAGAAGCTATGATATGAAAGCAGGCTCCCCTGCGGGGCCTCCAAGCACTCTCATCTCTCTGGCTCCAATGCTTTCCCCTCCCTGAGGAGGGACTTTTTCACCTGATTCAAGTCCTCCTTCCTATGTCACAGTTTGTAATAAAAACCTTATGTTCAATCCTCCACACTTTTGTGCCTTGTGCTTACAATTTTTTAGAATTTTGAAACTTTTTGTGTTTTTATTTGTGTGTGTGTGATTATGAAGTGAACTTCAAGAGCCCATTTTAAAGTGAGAAGAATTGCCCTTGACTAGTTCGCCCTCTGCCATTCAGCTGCAACAATAATCCTAATATGGTAATGCACCAAGGCTGTAGCAGATATCTTGCTAAGTACGTGTGTTTTTTCCATTTTACACTCATAACATTTAGCAAATGACATTACTAAACCTCACCCAAGACCACAGTTAGGGACAGAACCAGAAACTGAAGCCAGACAGTTTGCATCCAATGTATACACAATCTTTGCCCTCTATGCTTGGCCATCTAAAGACAATCAGTGCAATACTAATAGATGATCAGCCACATGCAAGGAAGTAAATAAAATGAAATCCCATTTCAAACCATTATCGATATAAGATATATATACAAAGTACATTTGCCAATGGCTAATTTCATGTGTAGTAAAATTTGTAATTCTGAGTGAAATTTCAATCATCTCTCAGTCACCCTCAAAATTCTAGATTAAAAGGCCTTTGTTATACAATTATCTATTATTTCTGGATACAGAGAACTTTCCTAGATAAAGAATTGCACCGGAATGCACAAAACTAGAGAAGTACATACTATTCTGTCATGTCTCCACCAGGTGTATTTCTCTTGCCACATGTTTCATGAAAGCTAATATTCATAAAAGTTTTTTCTATGGCTAAAATTATGTATTGTTTCTCTCTGTAACTATCTGAACAACTCAAATACACATAATATATCACATCATGATCCTTGAAACTCAATGGAAAATAAACTATTATAATACCAACATAATCTAGAAATGCAATACTTATTAGTAGGATCATTATGACAACAAAAAAATTCAGAATTTGAAACCTGGATTCTAATAAACAATATTAAAAGAGATTCCTACTCTAAAATATAATCATATTTTCTTTTCTATATGCCAAAAGAAAAGAACTTTCAGGAAAAAGAAAGATGTATTTATTTGTTATATGATTACTATCATGCTATTATTTATACTTCATGTATTAAATTCCATAACTATTTGGTATATCTTAAATTATAAGAACATTTTTTCTTGATTTAACCTCATTTCTATTTGAGATATACATTAGCATGCAATTGTTTATTCACTTATTTGCATAACATGTATTACTGGAGTGTTTCCCAAACTTTTGACACATGTGTACCCCTTTTATAATTTTCGTAACACTGAGTACCCTTCGTACTCATGAGAACGTAGAATTAGGCGCAGCTAAGCATGGTGCAGTGCATATTCCCACCAAACTCCGGCGCAACGCGTACCCCCACCAAACTCTTCCCGTACCCCTGGGGGTAGGCATACCACACTTTGGGGAACAGAGTTAGAGGATTTATCCGATACATGTGATATTTAAAAATACATAACACTAAAATTAAATATGAATAAATGTGGGAGAAAAGACAAAGGAAAAACTGGTTTGGGTTCTGCAGGATTGTACTTCCATCATGTAGCCAGTATTATTGTCCACTCAGAAGAAAACAAAAATTCAACTGATATTTCAATGGGAGGAATTTAATATAGTCTCGAGATAAGCTACAACCAAGTTGGAAGGTCTGAAGTAGGCGGAAGGGAAAAGAAAAGTTTCCTCAAAGGTCAGTATCTGCAGTTAGCCGCCATCCCAGGCCAAAGGAGAAGGTAAAATGGTGTTACCTGGGAGGGTCAGTGCCGGCTGGAGCTGGGGTAGTCCACGCGGGAGCAGTCCACTGCAGCTAGTACTGGGACCACTCCTTGCTGCGGCTGCCTTGCAGGAATCCCAGGCCGTTCTGTTGCTAGTGCAGGAGTCCTGGGTTCCAAAGTTCCCAGAAACTATCACTGGGACAGACAGAGAGAGCACCATGCTACCAGCGCTGCTGAAGCTCAACTACTTTGCTGCTTTACGTATAACTCAGAAAACCTGCTGCTGTTGCTGGAAACCGCCTGCCAGAGCGAGCAGGGCCCCAGGTGCTCAGCATCACCCTGGGCCGGCTGGGGAAGGCTCTGATGAAGACTCTACACAGGCTTCCACAACCAATAGAAGGTGTGGGTTTGGGCTTTTGCCATCCTCTTGCATTCTAATCACCTGCTATTACCTCCCACTGTCAGAGTCTTAAGAAGCCAGCCGCCAAAGAAATCTCAGGAAAGCAGTTTTCAGGCCTCAGGCCCTCTGTGACAGAAGATGAGAACAAATATGCAAATGACCCTGTCTGACCTCTGAAGTCAAGGCCAATTTGCAGTCTCTCTACCCTGACAGTCTTTGGTAGTCTTCAAAGATTCCTTGCACTGTTTTCTGTTATTTCTCTTCTGCTCATTTTGAAAGTAGAAAATATATTTCTAGCCAGGCCGGTGTGGTGCTGTGCTTGAGCGTGGTCCTAAAAAACCAGGAGATCACGGAGATCACGGTTCCTGGTCAAGGTACATGCTGGGATTGCAGGCACATCACCAGTAGAAAATGTGCAGGAGGCAGCCAATCAATGTTTCTCTTTCATCATTGATGTTCCCTTTCTCTCTCCTCTCCCTTCCTTTCTAAAATCAATAAAAATACATTTAAAATATATACTTATATTATTTTACTAATTTCCATAAAACTTAGTCATGATATAGTATACATTTTATATAGTTCTAGATCCTATTACAAAATATTTTATTTATTTATTTTTTCATTAGTGTTTATTGGTGATTTTTCTTTCATAAACTATTTTTGTCAGTTTGGTAACAAAGTTGTACTGACTCCACAAATCAGGTAGAGAACTTTCATATTTTTCTATTCTCTGAAAGAATGTCTACATTATTGGTGTTATTTTTCTTAAATATTTTTGAATAATTTACAAGGTAAACCATTTAAGCTGTGTCTTAAAACAAACATGAAGTTTCAAGAAAATAATTGATGCCAAAACTGGTTTGGCTTAGTGGATAGAGCGTCAGCCTGCAGAGTGAAAGGTTCCAAGTTTGATTCCAGTCGAGGGCATGTACCTTGGTTACAAGCACATCCCCAGAAAGGGATGTGCAAGAGGCAGCTGATAGAGGGCTAGAGAGTTAGAAACATCAGTGAGAGAGAAACATCTCTCTTCCTCTCTGTAAAAGATCAATAAAATATATCTTTTTAAAAAGAAAATAATTGATATGAGTAAATATCAAAGCAGAAGTACCATAATGAATACTCTGTAAATTTCTTCTCCAAGTCAACTACTAGGGCAAAATACAATAGAACTCATTTTCTTTCATATTTTTACTAGAAGGAAGCAGTAATAAGTTTGTTAATAACAAGCAGATAAATAATATAGTTCACTTTATCTGATAGAAACACAGACTCCTTCACCCTACAGTGAATATAGGAAATAGGATATCCTATATAATAGGAGGGGAATAAGCTAATTATTTGTTACGCCCTGAGGTATAATGACCAACTGCATTCAAAGACCAGATCACAGATCAGCAGGAAGGAAGGGCAGTGAGCTACAAGCAGGGGGTGGAGAACTATAGGTGGGGGCAGGGCAGCAAGCAAGAAGAGGTGGAAAACTATGGGGGAGGGGCAGGGAGAGCTCCAGGTGGGTGGGGCAGCAAGCTATGAGCAGTGGGAGCTACCAGCAGCAGTGGATGGGTGGGTGGATGACCAGCTGAGGCAAGTGGCAGGAAGCTACTGGCACAGGAATTCATGTGCAGGGCTACTAGTCTTCACATAATGACTGTTAATTCAGTCTATATACTCGTTACTTAATGTGAGGTTGCTAGGTACACAAGTCAGTTTGGGTAGTTTGTGTGTTTTTAAAAATTTGTCCATTCTATCTAATTATGTTTTGCTCATTTATTTTCATTCTTTTCTTTTTCTCTTTTTTTTTTTTTGGGGGGGGGGGGATTCATTATCCCTATCAATCTATCATAAAGTTAAGATTGTTTATTTCTCTAATTTAAAGATACTATTGGACCCTTCTATTGAATTACTCATTTTATGTGTTGGAGTTTTTAACTCCAGATGTTGTTTTATTTTCTTATACTTTCTATCACTTTATTGGTTGTCTCATTGTTGAGACATTGTCTCCATAACTGCCCTTTCTTTAAGCATAGTTTCTTTTATTCTTTGCATATATCAATAACGGCAACTTTGAAGTCTTTAAGCTGACACTTAGTCCCTCTCACAGGCCATTTCTGTTTCCTGTTATTTTCCCCCCTGTATTGGGTCATACTTTTCTATTTCTTTGCTTGTCTCATAATTCTTGTTGAAAACTGGATGTTGTAGGTAATACAATATATTGTAGCAACTCTGGATATGGATTCCCATCCCTCTCCCACGGGTCTGTTTTTATTGTTTTACTAGAGCCCGATGCATGGAATTCATGGGGGAGAGGGGAGGAGACCCTTCAGCCTGGCCTGTGCCCTCTCGCAATCTGGGATCCCTCTCTCCTAACCATCTGCCATCTCACTCCTTGCCAATGGCTCGCCCCACCTTAGTGCTACCATGGAGGTAGGAGAGGCTTCTGGCACCACCACTGCACTCACCAGCTGTGAGCCTGCTTCTGGCTGAGCAGTGCTCCAGCTGTGGGAGCACACTGACTACTAGGGGGAAGCTCCTGAGTTGAGCATCTGCCCCCTGGTGGTCAGTGTGTGTCACAGTGACCAGTTGTTCTGCCTTTCAGTCAATTCGCATTTTAGGGTTTTATTATATAGGATTATTTATATTTTGGTGACTTCAGCTCCTTTAGTGAAATCTATCTCCACTTTTGTTATCCCTCCTTGGGTGCAGCCTTAAGGGGGACAGCTTCACCCTGGAATAACCTTAGATCTAAGAAAGTCCCTTAGTTAAAACTAACACCGTCTCTTTCCCTGATCTCCTTGGTAAACTGCTTGCTTCACTTGGTATTAAATCCTACTGAGAGGAGTTAAAGCAGAATTGGGAAGAAAGGGTAAGGGGTGGAAGGAGGGATCCTGGAGCTAGCTGAAACAAACAAACAAATGTGTTTTGTAGAAAACCAGAGTGGGTAGCAGAAAAACAGGGTGTTTTGAAGTAAGGATGCTTTTCTTGCAAGTGAAAGAAAACAATGTTGCAAAAAGGCCAGGAACCAATTGGCCAACTGCACAGACAGACAAAGAGTAGGTCCGAGGGGAAGAGTAGAGTGCTCCAGGAGGCAACCCATTCGAATGCCCCTCCCAAACAGGGAGTCTGTGTTTGTTTGCAATGAACTCCTGCCTTGTTTAAATACCTCCGGTCCTCTGGTCCCCAGCTCCATTCCGTGAGACATGAGACAAGATCTCGGGAAAAATTCCTGCTCATTCCCGCTCACAGGTTCCGGTATCACTACCCATTAATCTTCTCTAATTACCAGCTGATGATCATGTTGTTTTTGATAATGTCCTCAAGACTGAGCCCAATCTTTTTTTCAGCAGTCTAAACCAATTAAATGTGAGCTTCTTTGCCAGGGTACTGTTTCTGAGAATTTTTTCTGTGCCTAAGAGGGCTCTTCTTAGGTGTATCTTTTTATCTGTTGAACTAACTCACCTATGGCTTAAAATGTTGCTTTTAACTAAGATAACTTATTGTTTTCAGGGGCTTCTTTATCCTTGAACACTCTGTTTTGAATGAAATATGTTCCTTTGGGAAGAGCTACAGAGCTGTTTTCCCCTACAAATTGCCTTTCCCCCCAACAAAATCTCTGAACCACCATTTGGGGAGTAGGATTGTAGATAGTCTCTGGTCTTTTGGCTCCTTCAACTTGTAGTTGGAGGGAATAAGAACTACAGTAAGTTGTTCTGATTGGGAACTAAATCGCAAGGGAGCCCCATTTTCTTGGCCTTACTTCCCCCTACCTTCCCCCAGTCCTAGGTGAAGTCTCTATATCAATCTGAACTAGAATGGGGGAGAAAGAGGAAGTAGGTTGTGGCTCACATGTCACAGATGATCACTTACCTTTTGTGTTTTAGTGGAGTGTGAGGAATAAAAGTTTTTTATTTTTATTTTTTATATTTTTTGTATGCCCTTAGGACTATTTTCAGAAACTTTAAATGATTGGATTATGTTTTACAGTTTTCGCTAGTTTTGCTCATTTCACTGGGGATTAAATTCATAGAACTTTCCATGCTGGCATCTTAGAAGTAGAGCACTTCTGAGCTTCAATCTTAAAGGTAAAATAATGTAACCATGATCTGAACTTATTTAAAGTCGTCATATCCATGGCCTTTATTTTTGTATCCCACTAATTTATTGCCAATATCTCTGCTATTGAGGGCATTATGACTATTTCTGTGCTACCTATTTGATTGGGGGGGGGAAGGGCATAAAACTTTTAGCTTTATGCCCTTCCAATATGATGACAGAATAGATTGGTATCAGAAATGAGACACAGACAGCAGTGTGGTGATGGCCAGAGGGGAAAAGGGTGGGAGCTGGGTGAAGTCAGACAAAGGTGGGGGAGGGGGAGGACCTCAGTAATAGTGTCCACAAGAAAAAAAAGAGAGAATTACACGGGATTTACAATATTGGGGGGGAAACAAAGAAGAAATGAAAGAGAAGGTTCTGATTGCTAGAAGCAACCAAATAAAAGGAACACCTGTGTTAATGAATAGCTGTGTGATTTTGGGTTTATAATGGGGATCACATGGTTTTAAGTAGCAGTCCAGTCCTCTAAACCCGAGTTTATTTCCATTAATTAAAATAATCTAGAGGTAAATTTGGACAGGTCAGAATTACATCGTTCTAGAGTTAGAAGTTATCTTTCTGGGCAGTTGGCCCATTTCATTTACAGCAGCAAATTTGAGAGGTCACTTGTTAATGTTAGAAATGAGACCAAATTCACAACTTTTGCTCAAAGATCATTATAATTTATTTACTGTGCCGCTTTTTTCTAACTCTATGTTATTCTCAATTAAACAGCCACATTATATTAGGACAGCCAAAGTGTTAATTTTATCTGGTTATGAATGAGGATACATCTGGGCAGCTCCTAACTCCTATGGTTTGTTTTTAATAACCTGAAAAGCCCTCTTTAATATTTAATATTTAACTGTAATTTTTAAGTTAGCATGTCTATTTCTTCATTACTATTTTCTCTTTTTTAATGTTTTTTTTATTTTTATTTTTAAAATATATTTTATTGATCTTTTACTGAGAGGAAGAGAGAGGGATAGAGAGCTAGAAACATCAATGAGAGAGAAACATCGACCAGCCGCCTCCTGCACACCCCCTACCGGGGATGTGCCTGCAGACAATGTACATGCCCTTGACTGGAATCGAACCTGGGACCCTTCAGTCTGCAGGCTGACGCTCTATCCACTGAGCCAAACTGGTTTCGGCTAATGTTTTTTTTGTTTTGTTTTGTTTTGTTTTTTTTTATTTTAATTTTTAGAGAGAGATGAAAGGAAAGGGAGAGATTGAGCAATAGAAACATCAATGATAGAGAACATCATTGATTGGCTGCCTACTGCAAGGCCACTACTGGATATTGAGCATAAAACTGAATTGCATGCCCTTGACCAGAATCAAAGCTGGCACCCTTCAGTCCATAGGCCAAGGTTCTATTCACTGAGCAAAACCAGCTAGAGCTCTTCATTACTATTTTCTAAATCTCTATAATTTGGTGATACATGTTAATGTGCTTTTTTCAAGTATAATTTCACTTTGTAGTCGTATCAGTTTTAGTTTATTGTTATTATTGGCTTATAAAAACTGGTACTTGCAATATCAATTTACTAAACAGCTTAAAATTGGTTGGCATGCTTTTTTATATCCTTTCCCAACTAAAGGTTATTCCAGAATTTGTTGGCATGCTCCTTATATCATTTTCCAACTAGGGCATATAATATTTTCCTTTATTATGTTTTCCCAATTGGCTACATAGCCCTCTATCATTACCTTTTCATTTATAACAATTCAGTCTCATCCAAGTTAAAGGAATGCCAAATAATACTATAAATATAAAATTCCAGAATTTTGTACATGTAAGTAATGTGTGTACATTACTGCTATACCGTTCTTTTTAAAAATAATATACCATAGCCGAAACAGGTTTGGCTCAGTGGATAGAGCATCAGCCTGTGGACTGAAGGGTCCCAGGTTCGATTCCAGTCAAGGGCATGTACCTTGGTTGCTGGAACATCCCCAGTAGGAGGTGTGCAGAAGGCGGCTAATCAATATTTCTCTCTCACTGATGTTTCTAACTTTCTATTCCTCTCCCTTCCTCTCTGTAAAAAAAAAAAAAAAAAAAAAAAAAAAAAAAAAAAATCAATAAAATATATATTTTAAAAAAATAATATACTATCGATATATAAGATCGGAGCAGAATGGCCTAAAATTTTTTCCATCCATTGCCTACCTGAAGTCACAACCTGTCTCTTCCCCCTCACAATACCTCTTCCTGCTCTTTTTCCATTACATTGATCTTCTTCTAAAATATGTAGTATTATTTTTATTTATTGTGGTTGTGGCTTGTT